ATTTATTTATTTATTAAAATGCCTCCTAAACCACTGAATGAATTCTAATGAAACTTGCAGAAAGCAACCTGTGGCCATAAAACCATAACAACTTAACTGCTAGGGTCAATCCAATAAAAGATGGCCACCACACGAATAATAACCATCATATCAAGAACCACAAAGAACCACAAAAGATTGAAGTAATTTCCTGCTTTAAATGAAGTCTACTTTATGTTTTACACTATACTGCTCTCAAAGATTTTGTAGGAGTACCCCCACCCTGTAATAAAACCATAGCTGTTTTTAAAGTTTGCAACCTTCAGCTAGGTGCTCGAAGGAATTCTTTGAAGCTCTGCTAATTCTGAAATTCAAGCTTTTACATACAGTGCCTTGCAAAAGTATTTGACCCCCTTGAACTTTTCAACCTTTTGCCACATTTCAGGCTTCAAACATAAAGATATGAAATTGTAATTTTTTGTGAAGAATCAACAAGTGGGACACAATCGTGAACTGGAACAATTTTTTTTGGATATTTTAAACTTTTTTAACAGATAAAAAACTGAAAAAATGAGCGTGCAAAATTATTCGTCCCCCTTGCATTAATACTTTGTAACGCCACCTTTTGCTGCGATTACAGCTGCATGTTGCTTGGGGTGTGTCTATCAGTTCTGCACATCGAGATTGAAATTCTTGCCCATTCTTCCTTGCAACACAGCTGGAGCTCAGTGAGGTTGGATTGAAAGCGTTTGTGAACAGCAGTTTTCAGCTCTTTCCACAGATTCTCGATTGGATTCAGGTCTGGACTTTGACTTGGCCATTCTAACACCTGGATATGTTTATTTGCGAACCATTCCATCGTAGATTTTGCTTTATGTTTTGGATCATTGTCTTGTTGGAAAATAAATCTCCGCCCCAGTCTCACGTCTTTTGCAGACTCCAGCAGGTTTTCTTCCAGAAAGGTCCTGTATTTGGCTCCATCCATCTTCCCTGTCCCTGCTGAAGAAAAGCAGGCACAAACCATGATGCTGCCGCCACCATGTTTGACAGTGAGGATGGTGTGTTTAGGGTGATGAGCTGTGTTGCTTTTATACCAAACATTTCATTTTGCGCTGTGGCCAAGTTTGATTTTGGTTTTATCTGACCAGAGCACCTTCTTCCACATCTTTCTTCCAATCTGACAAGAGGGGAGTTGTGGAAATATAAAGTGTTAATGTGGAGGAGGCTGTTGTGTCCCACATCACAGATCCTGTAGTGCAGGAAATACTGCTGCTTTCATTTCCTCAGGCAAACCCCTCCATCATTAGCAGCAGAAACTTAAATAAAAAAAAAATTCTGTCTAAAAGGTTAAACAGAAAATAACCAATAAAGAAGAAAAAACTCTTTAAGTGCAGTAAAGTGTTTTTTTTTAGCAAAAGTAACCTTTCTCACTGCTTTCTCAGAAGAGGATCTATCACTTATGATGCTTTCTTTTTCTTACTACAATCTCCTCCTGTCAGATGCACAAACAAAATGCATGACTTCATATTTTTACTGTCGCTGATAAACAGCTGGTGTTCAAAATGGGTTCAGTTTCTTTTCTCCCATTTCAAAAACAGTTTGTCAGTCGACAGCAAGGCGAGAGAGAGACAAACCATTCATAATTCAGCCAAACCTTGTAACAATTTATASTTGATAATTAACCTTAAGCCTTGTGTGTTACTTCACAACATTGGAACAATTTCATTAATGAAAGACTAACTTCACGGTTTAAATCARTGCATATATTTGCTTTACATATTCCAAAGACCCAAGTTCAGTCTCCCTAATTAATACAGTTAAGTGGCACATGAACCAGTTTTAATCATCTTGAAGCTTTGGTCATCAGTAAATCTCCCACTAATTTCTATAAACTCATACCCATGATCATTTATGATTGGATGTTGGCAAGGAAAACTTTGTTACATTGATGTCCTCTCAATCTGTCCAATCATGTTTGATAGCACAAAACAGTCATGGCAACAGGAAAAGATGAACATTTTCTCCATATATTTCCATGTACACCACTATGAGTTTATAAAATAATCTGTTTTTATTATCTGACTTCTTATGCATCTACTTTAAAAGCCTTCAATTATTGGACCTTGTTCTTGAAGGCTTAATCAACAGACATTAGTCAGATGATTTCAAGTAATTTGACCAAAAGTAAAAACATTTTGAACCTGCAGTAATTCTATAACACAATAATCAGGAGTTGATAACAATGCCCCTGTCCAGGACTCGAGTCATCATGATGGAGGACTGAAGCTGCTGAGACAGCACATGGTGTAATTCATACAATATATTGCCAAAAGTATTTGCTCACCAACCTAAATGACTGTGCACCAGTGCACAAAGCAAGGTCCATAAAGACATGGATGGCAGAGTCTGGTGTGGATGAACTTGACTGGCCTGCACAGAGTCCTGACCTCAACCTGATAGAACACCTTTGGGATGAATTAGAGCAGAGACTGAGAACCAGGCCTTCTGTCCAACATCAGTATGTGACCTCACAAATGTGCTTCTGGAAGAATGGTCAAAAATCCCCATAAACACTCCTAAACCTTGTGGACGGCCTTCCCAGAAGAGTTGAAGCTGTTCTAGCTGCAAAGGGTGGACCAACATCATATTAAACCCTATGGATTAGGACTGGGATATCACTTAATCACATAAAAGAGTCAAGGCAGGTGAGCGAATACGTTTGGCAATATAGTGTTTATATAAGGATTAATATAAAATCAACTCAAAGCTGAGTCAGATAACACCCTGTGCATAGCAACACATTGTAATGGCTGTTTTTCTCTGYGGAAGTGCTTCTTCACTTTAAGAAAACAACAATCATTGTGTGGCTTCATCATTTTAAAAAGAAACACTGTCAGTATGCTAACAGACGGCTGTACCAAAACACAAAAACCTGCCCAACAGGCATCCCAAACGTCAAACAAAAAGACCAACTACAGTTCACTTCCCTAAACTGACCGCCATGCTGGCAAACTGTGTTGAACTAATCCACGTCTAAATTGTTTATTGTTTTTATGCCCTGCAGTCGCGCTTTAGTTTCCTGCAGGAGTGCAGYGATGGACTGCTTCAAATTAAGCCTTCTCATCCTCTTCCTGCCCGTGAGCTCCAAACATTTACACAATTAACTCACCAAAAACTGATGGCGGAAAACAGTCCCGTCCTCCTGCAAACAATACAGTATACAATCAGTGCGAGGCTGATGTGAGTTGCTGCCAAATGACGCAACTTAAACCCAGTTCTTCAAAACAGAACCACTGTGGGAAATGTGTCGGAAGAAATTCAAGGAGATAAAGAGAATGGTGACAGAGMCGTAGTTTATTTTAGCATTTATTTCAACACCTTAATTGTAGCTCTATCATGTTATCAGTATACTGTATTTTATTCCAAACAAAATTTGTATATATATATAAATTTATATGTTCATATATATATATTTATATATCTTTTATCTCTGCAAACTTATGCTCACACTGTATGTAGTCATGTATTTTATTAGGCCTAAAATACTATAAATTCATGGTTTGAAAATGCTTTCTACACTACTGCTCAGTCCTTATTCACCTCTGAGAGTGTCCTTAGTGTTTGATGTCCACACAAARAAAATCTGCATTAAATCATTAAATAATGAGTCATTTTACTCAGGTTACCACAGGGTGAGCAGTAAGGTAAGCATTTMCAAACAAACAAAACAAAACAAAAAAATAAACATCAAAGAATTTGTCCACACTATCTGGAAGACAGAGATTCTTAATTTTAAACACTTAATAGAATAATCTTTTATACTATATTTTGTTATCATTGCTGTCATTGTCTTTACATATAGAGCTTTAATTAAGTGATGCAGTTTTTGTTGTTGTTTTTGCCCCACAGTTGAATCCACCGCAGTGATTGGTTCGGAGCGTTAAAAAAATTAATCCAACAAGTTCAAAATGTACGCAACACAAACAGCAGCTTGAAACTGATCACAGGGAGAATTTCTGTTGAAGGTGGGGTAAAGCATCCCGTTGAGTGGAATAATATGTGGAATAGTGAAACGTTGTGATTGTCAACTGGTGAGAAAGAAAGAAAAAAAAACTAAAACAAAACAGAACAGAATGGGTATGTTTTGGGAAAAAGCATGAGAGAAGGTTTTAGTAAGTAGAAGCACTTAACTAAAAAAATACATAATCAGATGCACTGACTCACAGAGGCAGAAAGAAGTCAGGCAAAAACAAAGAATCTGTTAAAAGCCCTTTTTGATCACTGAATCAATGTGAACGGTCATCATTATGGCATCAAAGGGGAAAAATCAACCCCTCCAACCTGAACTATTGCCAAAAACAGCTATAAACCCTTAGAAAAGATGGCGTCAAATGACTTTGTGAACCAGTTCACTTTCAAATGTCTTCTGGTTTCTCGGGAGCTTGTTAAAAAAAACCCAAGACTTTTTCTAAATATTTTTATGTCTTCATTATACACAACGTGACTTCTGTATATAAATACCCTGACCAGTTTTATCTGAATGATTGCTATCAGCACTTAGTACAAAACAAATGGTTTTACTAATAGTGAATCTCATTTTTTAACACGTAATATATATTTAGCGCTCGCAAAGTACAAACATACAAAGCTTATTGGGGCATCCTTTAGGGGAATATGGCAAATACATATACTTATATGTATACAAACAATACTATTAAAGTCTAGTGATTTTGTTCTGTCATCATTTATAAACAAAACAATTTTCTTCACAGTTTCAATCTGATTTTGGCTCCAGTAATAATTCTCTGATCTGCTTAAAGCTACAAACAGATGTTAGATTGTGCCTTTCATGTCCCTACTTTGAGTAGTCTCTGATTCAGCAACAATAAATAAAACTTTATTTGGGCTTCAGCCTTTAAGCAGCAATTTGTCTGTTGGTCTTTAAACTCAGACTTGAGTTTTCTCATTGCCGCTCGACAGCAGATGGTGTGAGAATCCATCTGTCATAGTGTGTAAAAATATGAGCGCAAGCATGGGAGTGTTTATTTTTTTACAGCACAAAACAGTGTTAATTAAATTTCCGCCCGTCAAAAGTTTTAAAGTATATATTTTTTACTCGATGAGCATCACTCTTAAGACATTTTTACTTTCTTCAAACCCATTTCACAAATTTTACAACATTCATTTCTACGTTTATAGCAAACTTCCTGCACATATCTACGCCTTAGTGCTTATTTAAACACAACCTGTTGATGTCCACTGTTCTTCTCTTGCAACTCTTCAGTTATAGTTCATCTTTGTCAATTTGTTAATCTCCATTTTTTTTGTTCCTTCACTCTCTCAGTCTGTGTCTCGAGGAGAAGTTGTGACATGCAAAGGAGAGGAGAGAAGCCTGGGGAGAAAAGGAGGCCAAATCAAAAAAATAAGTATGGGTGTGTTTGAAATGATGATTGTTTTGATAAAATGCAGGTTAATAAGGAGAAAGGAAAAAATGATGGAGCGTTAATAAGATAACTTATCAAATTATGTGTAACTAATGAAAAATGGGTATGGTTGAGCTAACTTTGAATGAAGATAATGAGACACTTTGACTTTCCTTCACCATCCAGAGCTTCCTTTGGGACCATTTGACCCCAGTTGCCACAACATCCTCCAGAGCCTGTTTTTTTGTCCTCCCTCACCTGTCAGTGAGTTTCTTAAGCGCCCTCTCGATGTTCATTCGATGTCCCACACGTGTCACTCCCAGGTCCAAGAAGTCGTCTTTTGTAAGCGAAGGCAGATGAGATCCATCTATCTCATTGTCTATAAAACGCTCTGTGTGTTCACCCAGATTTAAATAAGCCAACCAGTCGGCCACATCGTACTTGGTCCAGTAGGGTAGAGGTTTGATGGCGAATGGTTTGGCTGGTGGAGGAGGGCTGATCTGTGGATAGTTCAGACATGAAGGACTGGGAGGTAGATGCAGAGGGGTGGAAGCTCCAGACAGAAAATGAGTGGGGGAGTGAGAGTGTGAGTAAAGTAGGGGATTTGGACTTTGCACTGCAGATGGAGGAGTTGAAGCATGGTAAGGATCTCCAAGAGGAAGGCCAGGGGATGGAGGGGTGAGGGGGCCAGGAAAGTCAAAGGGGTTGCTGTAGGCAGGTGTAGAAGGTAGGATAGGGAGAGATGAGGGTCTGGGAGGGGTGGGGTTCGGCTGTTCAGTGTTGTAGATGAGAGGGCTAGGAGCCCGCCGCCTGGAAACTGAAGACCGCATCTCCTTAGTGGGGCTGCACTGAAAATCAAAAGTCTGCCTGCGCATCTTAGACCTGTGCTTAGGTGATGTTGGGTATGGGCAGTAGGTTGGAGAATGGGGAGGATGTGAATGTACCGGGGAGGTAGGCATCTGCGGAGAAGGCGATCTGGTCCAGTTGCGCTGAACTGGAACTTGAGGAGAAGGCGAGACAGAAGGAGTAGCAGAGAGGTTGGGGGTCCGGATCTGTCGATGCTGTGGAGATGAGGTGGGTAGTGGTGAAGTGGAACGGCCAGTTGGTGGACTGTGAAAGGCATCGGTATAATCTGCTGAATATCTGAAAGATACGAAAATAACTTTAAGTTGACATTACCAATCCACTACTAATAAGCATACAAAGTTCAGTTTTGAAAAACACAAATTCCAATGCAGATTTGGTCATATTATAATGCACAATTTGCAAATACTTTCTATCTACCCTCAAATTACGGTGGCAGTAAAAATATTAAAATCATTAATAAAAAACTTTTTGGCTTAATAGAGAAGCAAAACAGAAAGAAAAAGGCACCACAATTGCTATATTTTTACATAAATTGCTCAATTGAAAAAAGTTCTTCAGTTTATACCAATGAACCAACAAACCTGTGCATGGTAGGTGACTTTGGTGCATGGCTCCAGTCATCCATGCTCCTCATGCTACTCATCTGTTGCAGCTTTGAACTTAGCTCAGTAATGATGCTAGCTTTCACACCAGAGAAAGGGGAAGGAAGTCTGCGACCTTCCAAAACCATATCCCCACTCTGAACGTCACCCTGCTCATGTTCACCAATGTCACCCCAGACCAACGAGCGAGACTCCATGGGCCTCTCTAGGCAAGCAGCTAGGGCCGAACTAAAGCCATCATCCATTTTGGACCGACTCTGCTTGTGCTTCTTTTCATCTATATGAGTTCTACCTAAACCGGCATCTTCTGGGTTGATTTGTTTCTGCAGCTGCAGAGGCGCAGGGTTGACGCTGCTTTGCCGACGTAGTGCTATAGTCGGGCCCCTCCCTTCCACCTCCTTGTAATGTGTCATCTTTGGAAACACAGGGTTTGCCAGTTTGGTGCTGTGCACCTCAAATGCTTGCCCTCCTGAGTAGGTTGTGCAAGGATCCTGATGTTGACCGCCTTTTACTCCATCTACTCCAACCCCTCCTCTGTCCCTTCTCAACCCACTCAGTCCCAGCATTTCTAAATGGTGGTCACTACTACTATGACTGTCCAGCTCCTCAATTCCAGAATCTACCACAGCATCTTGCCAGTCTCCAGCCTTGGACACAACGTTGGTGTGATGAGTGAGGTCAGCAGCTTTACCCCCTGTACTGTGACCACCCCTGGGCCCTGCCACAGCAGAACTGTAATCAGATGATGCTAGAGAGGTTGTAGTGGTTGTGGCAGCTGTAGTTGCGGTCATGGTAGTTGTAGCATAGGTCATGGTAGTTGTAAGAGTGGCTGTGCCTCTGTCTTGGGCTGGAGTTTGAACATTTACTAAGGGGTCATTGKAGCTGCTGTAATAAGGGTGTGAAAGGGACATGGGCTGGGGTCTGTGTACAGATGCGGTGTGCAGAGAAACAATTGAGCTRGTGGTGGCCATGGTGGAAGATGGGGTAAATATTTGCGGGGATGGATAAGAGGGAGAAAGAGCCGACTGTGTAAGGTTGGCCACTTCACTGTCGTAGGAGGTGAGGCTGGAGGCAGCAGAGTCACCACCTTGTGAAGTGGGCTGAGGAGCATTTGAGGTCTTGGGAGATGAAACAGGAGGGGGGACAGCAGAAGCCTGGTGATGACTATGAAGCTGATAATGCTGATGAAATTCCTGCATTCTCTCATTCTTACCATTAGCAAACTGCAGAGGAGGGGGCAATGGATCCGCAAAAACAAACTCTTCATCTGCATCTATTGAAGGAGTTGGTGGAGGTAAAACCATCAGTCCTAGACCACCTGCCCCCGCTCTTGCTTCTCCCATACTGTCATTGATCTGTGATGGCGCTGTGGGTACAGTGTACTGAGGAATATAGCTCGTGTTGGGAGTGTTTTCCATCTGTAAATAGGAAGGTCTGCGGGGAGCAGGTTGAGCTGGTGGGGGAGGAGGCTGAATCGGTGGTGCAGGTTTGCTGTCATACACCTCCCTTTCCCTCTCTCTGGTGCTTTGTGGGTAATACGGAGCTGAGAACTGGCTGTTCCTGTCCTCGGAGAAACGAACTCTAAGTCCCTCTCTAGGCCCTCCTCCTTCCTTTTCTCTCTCCATCCTTTCTCCACCCCCTCCTCCCAAACGTAAAATCCTTGGCGACTGTGGCCGACTTAAAGATGCAGGTGAGATGGTTGCAGATGGGGAACCAAGGTGGAGAGAAACTGGAGAATTGTACGCCGATTGTGTTGGGGTTGCAAAAAGTGAAGGAGTTGGGGTTTGAACCGGTGTGGGGAAGGATCCAACTGTAGACAACTGCCGGCCAAACGGTCTGTCCTCTCTGCGTGTCCTGCGATCATCTTTTAAGGCTCGTTCTCTTGCAGCTAGGGCCAGGCCAAGTGGGGATGAGGGGTCCAGAACTTTCCCTGTAAGTGGGTGAATGAAAGTAGTGGCAGGCTGGGCACCATACATTGAGGGAGCTGACTTGGGTTGCCCATCCTGACTAAGTATAGGAGAAGAGTACTCTGGAAGGCCAAAGGCTGGGGGCATGCTGCTGGAATAGTTCATGTGGTTGTCTCCAGAAAACATGCCCTCATCTATGGACTTGGACGGTCGAAGTCGAGGGGTAGGTATTTCCATTTGTGAACCACGTAGAGGCTGAATTTGTGTCCCTAGAGCTCCTCCCACTTCTCCTGCTCCACCTCCTGCTTCTCCTTGGATGTCCTCCTCAGATGATAAGAAGAAAGAAGCACTTTTCCTTCTTATATCTTTTAAACGTTCTCTTTCCTTGCGTGGCCCTCCTCCAAATGCTGTACCAAATGTTGGGGTATATTCCAACTTGTCCAGGTTTTGCTGTGAAGACACAGAAGGTGCCACAGTTGATGAAGGCAAGGAAGTCAACGTGGATGGCTGGGGTGGAGACGGGGTGAGTGGTGAGGGTAAGCTTGTACTGGAGCTGTCAGGGGCTGCTTCTCTAGAGGGTTGGTCCTCTGCATCCTGGGATTGCTCAGCTTCCATGCTGCTCCCTTGGCTGCTTCGACCACTGCTGCTGGTGGATGGTGCTTTGACGATGATGGTGGGGATGGGGATGGAGCTCTTCTCTTTGGTTGCAGCTCCTTTTCCTCGATGTTGCCTCAGCCCATCTTCCACTTTAGACTGCTTAATCAAAGCTCCACGACCACCTCGCCTTGCCATTCCCCTTCCAGTCCCCCCACCCTGCTCCCGGTTGGACAAATGTGGAGGAGGATGTTGTTGCACCTGTTGGGTTTTAGGTTTAGCACTTGTTGGTGGCGTAGCGCTGCTGTAGCCTCGCCTCAGCCCTCCCATCTTGCCACCACCTCTCCGAGGCACCTCTGGCTCTCTGATACAAAGTCCGTCTGATTGCCTGCGGAGGGTGGGGACCATGACCTGCTGGTTCATCCCACTAGATCCTCCCCTATCCCAAGGAGCTTGGGTAGGATGTCCTGGTTGTGAGGGGAACTGGTAGTGCGCTTGAGATATAGGGGGAATTTGCATAACAGGTCCTCGGCCAGTATAAGGACCTGCAGATAAAGGTGGCTCTGGGGCAGAAGTGTTAGGGGGTGGTGGGATTTCTTCTGGTCCTGGCACTGAAAGACTGCGGGCCAGCTTCATAGCAGGTGGGTGAAGGTACTGCCGCTCCTCCTCTGTTACACCTGAGCACAAATTCCCAGGTATTAACAAACATAAAAAAGAAACTTGTATATTTATCCTGGTATAACTCTGTTAATGTCAGTTGCTGTTACCAATAGATTTTTGCCGCATCATGACTGCATGCTGAGGACCATGGCCTGGTTGAAAATGAGCTTGGTTGTAGCCAAAAGCGGGTCCAGTTTGGACAATGCTCACTGATGACTGTTGCTCGTAGGGTTGCTTCAAGTTCAAAAAGAAACAACAAAACATTTGCACAGATATAATCAAATATCACTTGACATTAAGCAGATATTTTACACTATAATGCAGAAGAACCAGTCGGTTTTTGTGCTGGTGTAACAGGCGCAGAGCATAAATGAATGGAGCCAACCTGACTCACACCTAAACAAATGTTTTTATGTGGGTGGTTCTTTGTCAATCATTTTCTATAAAGTGCAGTGAGGGCACAAGAAAATGCAGAGCTTAAAAAAAGACCTAAACTCCAAGTTTTCTCATAGAAAGGCAATGCTTTAGCCAGCATTAGTCACTTCCATGACTAAATATGAACTACATCCTAAAGTAGCAGATATAGAAGAGGAGGTTGTGTTTTTTTTTTTTGTTTTGTTTTGTTTTGTTTTTGCACGCAAGACAGTGATACATGGCTATTAAACACTGGTAATATTTTGTGCTAATTATTCATCTGAATATCCAGCTATAACATGACTATACAGCTACAAAACTACGCTATGTCCCCACAGTACCTCATTGGAGATGTTGGGAACAGTACTCTTGCTTCGGTCCCTCTTGCCTCCATGACCTCTCTGGCCCTGGTTGTCTGATATAATGGTGTGTTGAGCAGCAGCCAGTATTTCATCCAGTTTATCTAGGACAAAGTAAGAGCATGAACATAATACAGAGGAAATAATTTACACTAAAATATAAACCAAATTTTAAAATTTCATGCCCCCTTTTTAGCTTGATCACTCCCTTATCATAGTATAAAAAACAGTGAGAATAAATTCTTACTTAACGCCATCTGATAAACTGTTCTCTTCTTATCAGGGCCCTGAGAGGACTCGTAATCTGGAGGAAAAAAAAGAAGAAGCATCAAACAGCCTGACTTGTAATTAAAGCTCAGGGGCTGATATRGGTAATGATAAAGTCTGATATTTACCTGCTTTCTTTTTCCATGGTGAGGCAGCTGCTGCATACATAATTCCAGAAACATGGATTAGGTGTTTAGAACGACTACAAAGTCACACGTATAAAGCACATGAAAGAGTGAAATACATACGTAGACACATGTGATGGTGTGGATGCTGATGTGATGACAGAGATGGTGATGGGGACAGAAATGATCATGAGAGGAACAAAAATACATTCTCCCACCTTTTTCCACTGTTAGCAGTCGATTTGGTCCAACAAGAGAAGGGGTAAAATGAAAGAGAAAAGAGAAAGAGAGCTCTTTGTGATTAATAGGAATTGGACAAATATAAGACACCATGATATTTCTTTCATATTTTTTAACTTCACTGCTTAATTATCACCTTTTTTTTCTTTCAATAACATCAAAAGTGTAAATGAATAACATCAAAGTGCAAATGACTCAAAAAACACCTCTAACAGCTAAGAACAAATTTAATCACACTTTACTGAAGCATTTTCTTGACTCACATGAACTCTGTTAAAATTTATCAGCTGCTGAAGGTGAAGGTGGAGCGATCAGATTTTTCCTGAGTGTTTGGAAATATCTCATGGATCAATTGAAATTTTAAGAAAGGAATCAATGAATTAACGTTTACGACTGATTAACATTTGCATTCAAGATGGCTGCCACAGCTTAGCAAACACAAAAATGGCTAGAACTCAGTCAATTTTCTATATTTTCAGCTGATGTGGTAGTAGCCGCCCAYCATCATCACCACATTTGTTGACTACTCAATGTGTGATTATTTTACTTAAAACCTTGGCAGTAGTTTTTGGCGTCTGTCTGTTATTACTCATGAACTATAGAACGGATCCTATCGAAACTCTCAGGAGGAAATTACTGGATGTACTTCTACAACTGATTAACTTTAGGAGTCACTCCAGTTTGAGGTAGCTGCCATTGCTAATCAACCTTAGCCTACACAAAAATGGCGATACCTCAGTTAAACTTATGGATATTGAGCTGAAGTTTGATGTGGTAGTAGCTAGGAGTTATAAACGACACTTTAACACATTTCACAAAGATTTACAACTTTAAATGGGATTGACTTACTGTTATTTTCAAAGTTTGACTAAAATGGGTACAACTCCATCTCTTCTCAACATACTGTAAGATGATCTTAATCTGAAATTCTGGCATGAAAGGAAGCAGGAGACATGCATTGCTTCAAGGAACGCTAGGCGTGTTTCTCAGGGTGGTTGCTATCAGGCGGTTCAGGTCTTTGCCCTATCTGTCATCTTACCCATGTCTTCCAGCTCTGATGTCATTGACTTGGAGCGCAGGGCGATGGCAGGAGGAGTCAGTCTTTTCGTCTGCTGAGGGGCTGCCAAGGGAAGCCAGCCAAATGTTGATTTCATGTTTAGGATTCTTGTGTACATACGCAGTCACCATTGACAACCACATTTCAGCAGGCATTTAGGTCAAAGTAAACATGCAGTCAGCTGCGTCGTCAAATTAAAAAAAAAAAAAAACCCACACACTCCCAGGGAATATGTGACTCTTACCTYTCTTCCGAGCAGTGTCCTCGAGCTCAGGGTTACGAGCAACCATCACGACTTTCACCATGAGGCTGTTGCCGCCCTGCCGAATCATGTTGACCACCTGCCGATGACCAACCTTCACCACATTCTGACCGTTCACCTGACAAAAAGTAAAAAAATAAAAATAAAAAAAGAGGGAAAGAGGCAGTTAGTTCATTTTACTTGAAAKATTTTTTTAAGAACAGGAAATCTACACGTTGTTGCACAGGTGCACTGGCAGTAAAGTAAATCACTTATACAAAAGCTCCAGCACCTACATATGTGACTCATATTAGGCTGAACACCAATTAGAAGTGYGTGTCAGCTTAAATAGAGGCTTGACAACCCCCTCCTCAGAAGTGACTTTTCAATGCAGCGTACAGCAACTTTTAAAAGGTATAAAACTGCCGGAGAGTTACTGCAGCCTCTTACAAACTGTAAACATTATATATATATATATATATGTGTGTGTGTGTGTGTGTGTGTGTGTGTGTGTGTGTG